TATCTATTGTAGAACCCAACCCAAAGTGAAGAGATTTTGATTGCTCATTGTTGGGAGCTTATAATAATTTGGGTTCTAGAAGAAATCGTGAAATGTCGAAAGCCTGCTTTTCCTACTTAAATCGATCAACGAATTAATCTTCGACCCCGAGTTTCCTTTATTTTGTATTCATGGTTATAGTCAATTAACTTGAAGTGTGTCGTACGCTGTTGTTTCCCTTGCTTCTTGTTTGATATAAAAGAAGTAATAGCACCTGTCACATTGGATGTTTATCGTATGAGGAGGTTTGCTTATCCATATAAGTACGTAGGTCAGCAGGCTCGGCCTGCCACAAGGCCATATCTCTACGTTTCTTTCACCCATCTACTTACCATTCCGATTATAATTTTCCAGCCATTTGCGCATTGCGAACGAGTCGTGCAGAATTAATGAGTTATTAGTTTTGTTCTTTCTTCTCTTTTTTTTTGAATTCGAAACAATGAGGTTTTAAAGTGGGTTTTGGAAACGGCAGACTCTGTCATCTCTCCGGCCGAGTAGGTCATATTGTTTTCTATTCCATTCTATTAAAATCGAATTATATAGAAAGTGATACAACCGAAATCGACGTGGATTATGCGTGAGCAAAGTGATGAGGGTCTAAGCCAGCTTACTAGACACGTTGTCCATGACTTGGACTACTTTTCTTTGAGCGACCGAGTCTTGTACAAAAACACGCAGAAGAGAAATTGGGCCAATTTCACCTGAAATATAAGAAGAAGACGCTTTGATTTATAGACAGATTTCGTTATGTTGTATTTTGGTGTATTGAAGCTGTTTCTCTTTGCTGATCGTGGAATTTAGAAGCTAATTCACAGGCGTACTACTTTTTGTGTAACACAAATATTTGTCTTCTTAAAGATGTTTACACATAATGAAACAATTAGGGTAACTCGAAACGGCCATCAAAAATAAAACTGAGAAACAATAGCAGTTATATCTAATTAGGAAGTAACAGAAACGAGCCATCTTCTTCTCGCTGTCGATGTTGCACTTCTTTGTCTTGTCAGAAGGAAAGGCGAATTAAGATGTTAACAACGGCAATTGGCGATCCGTGCGAATACCATCCTCTCCGCCTCACCTCTTCGTCCTCCTCATCATTATCCACATCATTTCGCCTTTTCAGTAACTAGTTGCAATACCGATTCTGCACAGTCATCGACCCATTTAATTGCGGCAGTAAATAACGAATTCTCAATATTGGACCTTCGAGGCAACAGATATATCAGCAGGAAATTGAGATAGATGGAAAACAACCTGCAGCAACTACAGCGTGTTTGACGCTCAGTGTCTTCTCTAATCCCAAAACAACGTACTTAATTGCGTACTTTCTACGAGGCGAATTATGTTCCTCGCGCTCGAAACACCTTTCATTTCCCATGGAGGGATCAATTTGTTTGCGGAATGAAAGTCTCCTTCTTTCGTTCTTCTTTTTTTTCACAATGTTACTATTCAAATACTTATCGGATTTAGTATCTTACTCTCTTGTTATAGAATATAGGTATTGTTGTTTATTTTTTTGTTTGTTCGTCGTCGTAGCTGCTGTTTTGCTAGTGATGATTAAGTAGGTCTTCCGTTCGTAATAACCTCGATAGTTGGCGTTTGAAACGCACAGGCCGCAATCAAAAATGTTCAATCGGAAAGTAAACCGTTGTGTCTGTGGTATTAACATACTCGCTACTTTCTTTCCGATCACCGAAACGATGAGATTGTGTAACTTGTTTTTATCCGTCTTGGATTCTAAGATATATGCAATACTCAACGTGTATTCTATTTACATTTAAATTGCATTTAAGTCCTCTTTAAATATTTATAACCTAATTCTTTGGTATTGCAAAACAGTGTTATTGCGAGACAAATACTATTACGCATTTTTAAGCCTTTTTCTTAAGAAGCATCCACATTCTATATGATATGAGATCTAATTTGGTATTTAATTTATTAACATTATCTTGAATTTAAATCGTATTCTTGGGATTCAAATAACTTGTCGTTTCTCGCTTATCGCAGAGAATGTTCTAAGAATATGCTTCATTTATTTCTCATAAAAGTTTAATATTGAGTGGTTTTAGTTAAATCTTTTAAAATAAAGAACAGTTTCTTAAGCGAAGGATGGACAGTTATATAAAATTTGCTTAATTTATAAATTTTAATTAGTAGATGCGATTTATGTGATGGTAATTGATATTGCGATGCAAACGAAATAAAGGAGTAAAACTGTACATTTGTATGTTATTGTTTGGATCTGTGAATCCGATTTGAAGATTTTTAGAGGTAACAACGTTTAGCGAGGCAATCAGAACGTGCAGACCGACGGTCCAATTATCTTTGCACCTTAGCGGTTGTTCTCTCGCGGCTGGAAGAGCAGGTGGCGTGTTGCTGTCTGTCGTAAAGTCGATCCTTTTCCTTCCTGCGTCCTCGCTAATCCTTCTACAAGCGAGCAAGGCTTGCGGTAAGTTCGGGAACGAGCTTCGCCGTGGTCGTAATCAAGTAGGTCGCAGCCGCTAAATTGAATCCATTACAATTAATTGAGCAATTAGCGTTCCTTCAAAGTACCAAGGGTTAATAAATAAGATTTGCAAGTTTCGTACCATTCTTAAGCGGCCAATCCAATATTGTTCGATTTCATCTGTCCATGAGAAGAGATGATATGAGAGAAAGAGAAAAATACAGAAAGAAAGATAATAGCATATTTATTTACAGTTTAATAGAAGTTTTTAAGAAGTGAGAAGCATTGCACAGTTATTACTATCTAGACGAGCGGCCGGTTCGAGTGCAAATTGAAACCTAATAGCTCGTAACCAAAGAACGCCAAATATTTACAAATCCCATTTCCGATGAGCTTGCAGACTCATATCTCTATGAAAACTTAGGAGATGATCACCTAAACTAGGACACAACGGTTTATTGTATGTTAATATCTATAAATGGTCGTTCTCGTTGTTTCCTTTTCGTGTAATAGATTTGGAAATTGATGTGAAGGTCATTCTTAAACGGCGGAGGATGATAGTGATGTACACGACGTATCCCATTACGGAATGTATCCAAGGAAGGAAAGACTTTGGTTTGTGAATAAACAAAACGAGAGAAGCTGAAAAATAAAAACGGGAAACGATCTTGCGAAAATTCCAGAAACAGCTCATTGTTGTAGGACCTATTGAAATACCACCATAATATGAATTTTATTTTCGGCGTCAAGGCATCATTCATATTTACGGTGAGTTTATATTAAAGAACCGTATTTTTGTACTATTACCAATATTTTTTGAACCGTAGCTCATTACATTCATAGTTTCATCTAACCGTTATAGAATCGGTTATAATTAAAGACATAGGGATGTGCTGTTAATAATTTTGTTGGGTGTTTGCGATGTTTTTAATCGTTCAACATGTGAAAGGTATATTTAAACAATAATGGCATGTATACCTCCCGTGCATAAATTGATTATGTCGTTAATAATGTATTTATTTTAAATATTTAGATGATAATTTACTTGACTCTATTGAAATCACATATAATATTTGTCGATGGCAGAAAACGTCTTAGAAATAAATTTCCATGTTATAATCTCTGACATAATCGAAATATTGAAATTGGACTGTCTTTCGCGAAATATCGATTTTATTTTTGTGTGGGTTTTAATTCGTAATTTTGGAGGAGCGCGTGGAAACTAGGCCAATTTGGTAGTGCGTGTTAATTTGGTGGATCCGATTTTTGAGAAAGCCGGAAAGCACGCGGCGTTCTCCAGAGGACGATTTGGCGTAAAATGTGAAAGTTAAATTTTACTTTAGTTTCATGACAACTAAATTGCTTTTCGCATTCAATTGTCAAACGTTCACATATAGAGTGATCGTTTCGTGCACTTTCTGTTTCGGTTGACAACATTTGCAACAATTGATACTATTATTAGGTTATACTTTTACTTCAACATTTACTAATATGAACCAAATCTGTTAGAACTAAACATGATTTTAATGATTCACAATTTATTAAAAAAAAAACATCAAGAAATGATTTGACATTTTAAATTGTATACGTTTTGCTATGCTTAATTGATTGTGACTGGTGATATAAATGACATGTATCAACCATGATCATCAACATTTGATATTTTGAAATGTAATGATCAAGTTATCATAATAAAGATACAATTATGTCTCTCAATTACGGTGTTATTAGTTCGATATTAACTTGCAAATATTGCTTAATATAGAGAGATTAAAGTAGAAGTTTTATATGTTTTTATGTAAAATACCATAAGTCATAAATTTTTAAGACTATTGAACATGGTATGTGGCGAATTGGGTCGCTGAGTGTTAAGTATAATTAGATTACAGCAAAAACATTTTGTATGTCAAAATTATATTATATTGTCATAACTATTTTTATTGTTACTTCGGAAGTAATTACTGATAGTATATATTTTAAATTAGTATATGATGGCAAAACAAAGGTTTTTTTTTCTGGTATTGTTTAGAAGAAAACTTTTAACAAAAAATATGGTTTCCGACATTTCATTGTTTTCTGGTTTCAGTATATTAATTTTATTGTTGAACTTTTTGTGTACTCTTTTGTGAGTCATTTCCGAAAGAAAGTTTGTCGTTTGTAAGTGTTTTGGTATTTAAATCGTGCGCTTTTTTTTTAATGTATTCGGTTGTTGTTCTGTTTGGTTGGTTCTTTATTGATGCGGATGCTGGGCTAAGGATGTCTTCTCTGTGGTGGTGTGACCCCGACCTACTAACATGGTGGAGCGCGTGTGAGTGTGTAGGGCCTTAACGGGGTCATCGGACGTGGATGATGGATGTATGGTGTATGCGTGCGTGCGTACGTGCGCGAGTAAGACTGAAGAAAAAGAGGACCATCTCTCCAAACCAGAGGGTGCATTTCTCTTCTCCGTCCTACAATCTAAACTCGAGTGACCCAGTTATGTGGGTGGCTCGCGCGCTCTCTTTGTTCCGTCGTCGCGTGTAAGTAGGTTAGTGCAGCGCGTTGTGGAGAGGAGAGACCCGATAGACCAGACCCCACTGCCTAATGGTCCGGCGGCGCTCCGACTCGACGGAGACCGTCACTCGACCGTCAGTCGAAGTCTGCCTGGTGTAGAGAACGCCGCGTACACCTCTCCAAGCCCACTCGTCTAGCCATGTGCTAGTCGCGCACCAAGAGTGCCGACCGCGTTTCGTAAGCCGTCGCGCCATCCGCCGGAGGATCAGAGTCATGAGCCCGGCATCCTCTGGAGCCCTCGAAGTCGAGAGGTACATCGGCGCCTGCTTGATATCTTCGCAGCAGTCGAGGTACAAGAAACAAAATCAGCAGCAACACCAGCAGCAGCCGCAACAGCAGCACTACATTCATCAGGACGTGATTTACCCCGCAACCTACGTGGATACCAGATACAGAAACCAGAGATGTGCAACAAACGGCACCGAGAGATGGGCAGGAGGCATGCCTCTGATTTCGTTCTCCAACCATCAGCAGAGATATGGTCATCGAAACGATGGGCAGACACCGCTGTCTCGGCTGGCGGTGCACACCCAGGGCGCTCCCCTGATCCTTTCTAACAACAAGTATCGCAAGAACAAAGCACGCAACGGCGGAGGCATTGGCGTCAAGCCAGAACTGAAGAAACAGGAGGGATGTCGCGAAAATAGCACAGACACGGTGAGCGTTGCCAGCGACGAGAGTTCCGGTTCCGCCAATTCAGACCAATGTTTGCCGAGAATCATAAAGCCCAGAAAGCGGCGGAAAAAGGATCGGAAGACTCTGCCGCACCTCGCCCGGCCCCTCAGCCAGGATGGTTCCTTCTCTACAGATAGCGCTAGTCCCGACATAGATTTAGCAAATCCTCTACCAATCATACCATACGCCCCATACGCATACGATCCGATCTTTGCGCAGTACGAGAGCTTGGGCGACATCTCCGAGACTCCGAAACTTCATCACTCTTTCGAGGATGTGCAAGAGCTCGAGACTGACATCAACGGAAATGTGGAGAGCTCGTGCCAGTGCAGATACTGTGATCCGTCCGGACAGATTTGGGACATCGACAGGAGCTGCTACTCACCCTTCCTGACCTCACCCCCGTTTCAATTTCCGGATAGTCCTAAGAGCAGGAGCAGTAGCTTGGCTTCGCCACCGTTACTTTCGGACAGTCTTATTGACAGTATATCCGCCTTCTCATTGGAGGACACTTGGAAGCCGACAATGCGGTCTGGCGACTTGGAGGTATCCACCGAGATCGTGACCTCCCTCAACGGCCACAGGGATCTAGAAATCAAGTTCTTTAGCTCCGCTAGTGGTAATAACAGTGATAAAAGTGATACAGGCGAGTGCTTTCTATATAACAAGAGTTTCTCTTCAGATGAATGAGTGGACAGGAGGATATACGATACGACGCATACATTTTATATGATCTCTCTTCAAGACCTATTTAAACCCAAACAACACCCTTTTACTAATATAACTTTACATGCACACACTTCTAACAACATTTTCGATTTGGAGTGCATTTCGAATTGGATCACGGTCTGGGAGGGTCAGACCCTGGGGGTCGCGCTCACAATTGCTGATTGTATGTTAAAATTATTAGTATTATCGTTGTTACACAGAAACATAACATTATGTTCAAGGGAACCGGTTTTTGTTCCTTCTTAACATAACTTCGGGTTTTGGTGACAATAAGATCCTCGGTTAACTCCAAATTCGAATGCATCGCAGTTGATAAGTTAGTTACATTAACGTATCAATATATACATATTTTTCTATTATTGTAAATAGAGTTCAAAGCGAATATTTTTATTCTACGAGAATCATTTATCTATATATCTTAATTCTCTCTCATATTCCGTATGTATCATTTTGGAACTTTGTGAATCTTAACATGCGGGATTTATAATAAATATTTTTTTGTTCATTTTGTGGTCTTCATCAAAGTTTACTGGTGCATACGGAATCCAGTCGAGTTAGCATTTAGTTCAAGAAAACAAACGAGACGTTTCTTTTTTTATATTAAATACAACATCGACTGGAGTCTTTACTATTTTTGTTTTTTTTTCTTGTGTGTATTATAATTTATTTATTGTGTTGTGTAAAACGCTATGGTAGTTAGAAATTATTGTTTAGTTATTATTTTAATCTAGGTAACATTCCGATTTTATGTTCTTTTTCTTACCTATATAGAATGAAAATATATTTGTTTATTTTATTTTTATACACTTATTTATTTATTTATTTTTATTTTGGTTGCTGTTTCCGTTGATTAAGGAAATCATTCGTTGACCTTGTTCTCTGAATTCTTACGTGCACCAGCCGAGATCACTTTGAGGAGATTGGGGTCCAGTTTTTACTCTGCACTTGCGCTCTTCTCTTTTCCAATTCAATTAAATTGTCGATTTGGACTGTATATTATGTGAACATGATAACGTATCTCCTTCCAATAAAGTAGAATGCAATTTAGCCGTCTTTCCAGATAGGCCAACGTAACGAATATACGTCTCCTCTCCGTATGGACACTTTATGTACCAACGTTCCAAGATCCAAGACGTTCGTGTGAATAAAAATACGAAACGAACAAATAATAGTCGGTATTATTACGAAAGAAACTCGTTTTCGCATCTCACTTTCGTTTAGACTAAATATATGGTAACTGCAATTTCTTTTGTTATTGTGTATAGTATTTCAGTTACCAATGTAGTCAAGTTACTACAGTTTTTTTTTTAATAAAATGTCTGTATGCAACAGAATTACTTTTTTGATCGGCCAACATATGCTCAGTTACGGGATTAGGAAAACAGTTAAACTAAGTTTATTGCGCAAAGTGGAAATAGCTTATGGACCTAGCGGAATGGTTCCCAAAAACGGGTCTATTTGTATTAGCGCTTTATCTAGCGTTTTATTTATTATCGTATATATATATATAAAAGAGATATTATAAAACATATAGTTAATTTCGTAGCATCAGTATTTGTTGGATATTATACCCAAAGTATTCATTAGTTAAATGATCAACATCAATGAATGATACGCGTTGTTCTAGTTCACTTAAACGAATAAAAATATTTTCTTAAAGAAGCAATATTAACTTTTTTCAAGTATGTCATTCAAATAATGTTTGTTTAGTAATTATAAATCAAGGAAGAAAGTCCCAAGTACACTTATGCCTGCACAAACACTCAGAGGACAGATGTTGGATGTGCTAATTAGCTCTAATTAGAAATCAGTTTTCGATTCGCTTAATTATTGCTATTATTAGAAGTGGTGGTTGTGCAGATGATAATGTACAATTTACTTAGAGTAACTTTCTCTTCATTCTCGTCATTTTACGCATTGAGAAAAGAAGTTTCCATTTTTATACTCTGCCAACTATAAATTTAAATAATATTTTTTTGAGAACTAATATTTAAATTTGTATCATAAATATTTTAAAATTTAAAATGTTAATATGTCTTTAAATTTATTATTATCAAAAACTTGATTGATTAATGAAAGACCGGAGGTTTAAAAATATTTAGTTCAATCTTAAATGAGATCTTTGTTCTATTGAGTCTTCATATAATGAACATTTTTGCGGAATGAAGTATTGAAGTATCCTGTACCTTGAGGCTGGATGAAAAAGTCCGAATGTGGAGCACTCGGAAGTTCCTTGAATACATTACTAATCTCTGCGTCTATGAATAAAGAATGCAGTGAACTTTCTATTCCATTCGCGAACAACACATCATAGTATTGCATTTCTAAACCATAGAACCACGACCTGAATCCCAGAGATATCTATCATATTTCCCATAATTAGAAAAATAAAGTAAAAACCTGTTTCTCATATAGATTTTTAATTTTGTTTTCAACACAAATCGATTGTCTCGATTTTTCCGTGTCACTGATGCGTGTCACATGTATTTTATTTCTTATTATTGGATTTACTTTCTGCTCGCTGCATTTAGTGTGCTGCTTTTTTAAAAACATTTAATTATTGGCAATTTTCTACTTTTACTTTAACCCATTTTTAAACGATTTCTCCGACCACTACTACCTTTTATTTTTATGGTTCTTCCGTCTGTGACGATCGAGTAAAGTATATCTTGTGTTTTTTATTCATTGCACGATCAAAAAGATTATTCTTTTGGGTCCAAAAACTTTCGCTGAACGAATTCTCATGGAATGAAACCAGAGATCGAGATGAAACGATGAAAGTTACCGATATGGCACAGGGCACACAACACACGAAACCAACCAAGACGGATCAATCTTCAGCTCACGTCCAGGCTTATTTTTATGAACGCTACGTGCGGGATCGCTTTCAATTGGCAAGACATCTAAAATAAAACATGATACGTTAAAAACATACACTAAAAATTATGAAGTGCTTTTCGCGGAATCCGAAAGAAGGAAAGATAAAAAACAAGAAATAAGGAAACGATCATTTGCATATGAATACATCCTTGATTAAAATCCGAATTGGTCCTCTGGCCATGCAAGGCAAAAGTGGGAAACGACGTACCTGTGTTGCTGTTGTTGTACTTGTTGTTGCAGGTCACGTATTTGTTGCTTTGAATATATGGATGTGTGGTCTTTTTCTCGTTTTGTTTTCGCCTTCGGTGATCGAATAATGCCATAAAGAATTAATAAATAATAAAGACTGCTGTGTCAGTCCGCTTTCTTCCTCATTTGAAATTTAAATGCGAACCCGACCCGACGTATTTTGCCTTAAATCACCGATGTTACAACGTTCTACAGGGAAATGAAAATTGTATTTTCGTAGACAACTGCATTTTCTCGACTCTCAAATATTTAAACACAGAAACACATTTGAATTTGTAAATATCTTGATAGTAAATCCATACAAGTTTGGTTTTCAAATCAATATGAATGTTAATAACAATATCGAAAAACTTCATTAAATTTAATATTTAAAACATAATTAAGAAATTGCGTTACATAATATTTCAATAAATTAATACAAAAAATAATATTTAAAATTAATTGATTTCCAATTTTATAAAATATCAATAAAATTGACAAAGAATGGATCCTCGTGGTACACCTACACAAATCGAGCCAATTATATTGTATGCGAATGATTTGTCTTAATCAAGTTATTATAATTAATTGAAAACATTACTATTTTATTGGTGATTCCTTGCGTAATTGTTATTATTTTAGAAAATCAAACTTACTTTCTATAATATAACGGAAACTGCACTAATTGGATTTGGGTAAAACTAAGTGGAAAAAGAAATTTAACTTAACCTTGGCCTTTTTATGTTCTCTTTCCAACAAATTAACGAACGTTGGAGAAGTTTACAAAGAAACAAATCTAAACTCGACATCCTTTTATAACGAACTATAAAAAATTGAATACGAATGTATCGTCATTCAAATGAATGGGACATCAAGGCTAGCGTACCTTGAAACGGAAAGCAGTATCAAAAAGTTCTCAGAATGTAGAGCAATCAAATAATAAAGGAAGAACCTCTAAATTTATTACTAGGTTAGTCATCAGGTTTGACTTTAACCTTGAAATCTGCTTCTTTGCACTTTTGTCGTTTTAAATATTGTTTGGTGCTGAAGAAAGTGGGTTATGCAAATATGTTTCAATTTCTTCTAAGATTTCACTTGCAATTACATTTTTTTTTGTAAGCAATATCAAAAGTTGTTTTATCTACAATTGTTACCATCCTTTATTTATGATAATTTCGCTCCATACATTAAGTGCAGCTTTGTTGCATTGCTCTTTTTCCTTGTATTTGGAAAGTCGGCTTCCTACGCGTATGGTGAAATCCGATGCAAAGATTTCTTCTCTTTCGTCTATGCATTCGTTGTCTTCCTCTTCCGCATTTTGGAGTGGTGATCCATCTCCGATAGCGCAAATTCAGGTCTACTGTTTGTGATTTAATAACCTCTGGGAACGTAAATCGGTATTCAGCGAGTGCGAACAAATCAAGGAAATAAAATAATTTATTATTGACTGGTTAATGGAGGAAAAACCTGCGTTGTTTCCCTCCAGTCTTCTTCTTATATTTATATAGATATATATTTTTTTTTTCTCCAGGATTACGTGCGCCGCGTTGGCAATGAATCTTTCGCTGTTGGAGAGGAGGTGCGTCGCAAGACAAAAGAATCCGTGCTGGCATTCTTCTTCTCCTCGGCCGAACGCAAACAACACTAAATAATATAATATGCTGAGTGTTGGCATTGGTCAGTGTTTCGAGGAAGCGAAACAGGCACGATCCTCGAAGGAAATGGATGAAATTCGTTCGCTCCGACGGTACGAAATGTCACTCGTTACGCAACCGAGACACGAGCCTTTTACTCCTCTCCTCAAAAGATTATAATACTACAATCGAATAAATTGTTCTCTCCTAGTTTGTTATATAACTTTTTGAATATACCAAGGCTCAACGCCAATTTTGTCGATATCCGAAACAACTATATACAAATTATTAAAAATAAAACATTCTGTTTCTCCTTGAAATCGCAACAAATTGATAATAATTGAAACACGGGTTTCGCATGTTTCGGACGCGTTTTTTTTACAATGAGCGCTGATGAGTAATGCAATAGAGAGAGAGTGGCTCGCTTTCGTTTTGCGTAACAGCAATAATATGAGATGCAGATTATTATTGTTCTGCTGTCAGCCATTATTATATAATGCGGTGCCGCTTGCTCTATTTTTCTCTTTTTGTTCCCGTTCGGCACGTCCCGCGCTAATTGATTTCCGACCTATTTAACCGGAGGTTGCGGTAACCTCTTGCAAGGAAAACGAATCAAAAAAGGCACAGGACAGTACGTCGGATCGTTACGAAAGTATATCAAATACATTTACAACGGCCGCAGAACGAAACCAAATCACATTACGGATCGTAACGCACTGAAAACCTGATTATCGTGGACGGGGGATTAGGCAATTGGAGCAGCACATATCTTCAGCCAAGCACACTAATGCTGTCCTCAAAGTGTATTAAACTATCTATCACAATTTCAATTTTATGATATTGGTATAATATAATTAATAACATAATATATTAATTATTCTTTTGATGTACTACAATTGGATGGTCAGTCATGTTACACTAATTGACTTTATACAGATTTGAAACAATAGTTATAGCTAAACTAAGATATTTTACGCAATTGTTTA